GAGCAAGAAGGTCAAGATGAACCATTAGATCCAAGGATCATCAACGGCACCGAGACCAGACACGAGGTAGAGCAAGAAGGTCAAGATGAACCGTTAGATCCAAAGGTCGTCAACAGCACTGAGACCAGACACGAGGTAGAAGAAGGTCAAGATGAACCGTTAGATCCAAGGGTCGTCAACGGCACCGAGACCAGACACGAGGTAGAGCAAGAAGGTCAAGATGAACCGTTAGATCCAAGGGTCGTCAACAGCACTGAAAACAGACATGGAGTAGAGGAAGAAGATCAAGATGAACAATTAGATCCAAGGATCGTCAACGGCACTGAGACCAGACATGGAGAGAACCCCTGGCAGGTGTGGGGAGAGGTGGAGCAACCTGTCCTTTGCTGGGCCAGGGCCACAAGGCCTCCCCACGCAGAAGCAGATGGGGAGGGAAGTGCCTGCTGCTGGAGGTGGGTGGGGGTGAGTGGGGCAGAGCAGGGAAGGAACAGCAAGCCCATGGGCCAGGGATGCAGCGCAGGCGGGTGGGCTGTGGCCAGAGTGCCGGGCAAGGAGGAGCTCATCTCTTAAGGAGCTGGAGAGGCCTGTGCAGCCCAGGACCCAGACCCTCTTAAGAATGGGACCAGGGCTGTACTGGGCATTCTCAAGTCCACCCTCTGACACTGTGGCTGCTGTTCCAGGTAATGCTGCTGGACTCCAAGAAGAAGCTGGCCTGTGGCGGGGTGCTCATCCACAGTTCCTGGGTGCTGACTGCAGCCCACTGCGTGGATGGTTCCCGGAAGCTCAGCGTCAGGCTTGGTGCGGGCTGTAGCCAGGAAGGGGGGTGGCCAGGCGGGTTATTGCATTTGGGAAGCTCTAGTCCCAGGAGCTCAGGCTCACAGGTCATTTGTGGAAACAGAACTGGTCCCTGTGAGCCGGGTCAGGAGGGCCTGTGTGGTGCCCACTGCAGTTGGCACAGGCCTGTGTGAGGGGCACCACACACCCTGTGCACCTCATTCCCCCTGCATCCAGTCCAAGCACTCTGGGGTGCTGCTTTCCCCAGCAGGCTGCAGGCGGCAGCAGAGGCCCCACACTATGACAGTTTCTGGAGGCGGGCCTCATTAGACTCCACATACAAAAAGAAAGAGGAAGGTGTGTTGAGCGTGTCTAAATTCCTGTGTTGCAGTCATCTTCAGCACAATTAGTGGCCAGGGCCTGGGGCATTGTGGGATTTCTATGCCCTGCTTTTCAAGGACTATCAAGCTGGGCTGGAAGGAATCTGTCTCTCACGTGTGTGATGCCTTTCCCCAGTCAGTGTCTATCCTGCTGGTCCTGCTCTGTGGGTCTTGTTGCTCTGGCCCTTGTCACCGCAGCTGTAGTTTCACATGTCCCAGGCCCTAGACTTCCCTGGTCCCACTGTTTCTCTGTGAATCCTGTCCCTTGGAGGTTGATACCATAGACCACTCCTTCTGTCAGGAAAAGGCAGGGTTTTTTTTTTTTTTTATTTTAGGACAGGGTCTACAGGATCTCACTACCTAGATCAGACTCATAGTGATCCACCTGTGTTCAGCCTCCCAAGAGCTGGGATTACAGGCATGCGCTACCACGCCCAGTCTCAATTGCCAGCTCCGTGAACCCTGGGGGCGGGGCCAGACAGCACGACGGAGATTGAACCCTGGCTCTGCATCTGCTAAGCAGGTGCTTTAGTCTGCTGAGCTATTGGGCCGGCTAAAGTGCTCTTGAGAAGGAGCCAAGGCTCAGCTCAGCAGCTGTGACCTCCGTCCACCTGTGAACGCAGACAGGCTGCATGAAGGCCCGCAGGCGCCCTGCCATCAGAGGCCCTTGCCAGGCCGTTCTTGACGGCGCCCTCTGCCCTGCAGGGGAGTATGACCTGAGGCGCAGAGACAAGGGGGAGGTGGAGCTGGACATCAAGAAGATCTTCATCCACCCCAACTACACCCGGAGGACCACCAACAACGACATCGCGCTGCTCCGCCTGGCCCAGCCCACCGCCCTCTCCAAGACCATCGTGCCCATCTGCCTCCCAGACAGTGGCCTTGCAGAGCGGGAACTCACTCAGGCCGGCCAGGAGACGGTGGTGACGGGCTGGGGCTTCCAGTCTGAGCGGAAGGGAGACCCCAGGAGAAACCCCACCTCCGTTCTCAGCTCCATCAGGATTCCTGTGGCTCCTCGTGATGAGTGCATCCAGGTCATGCAGAACGTGGTCTCGGAGAACATGCTGTGTGCAGGCATCCTTGGGGACACCCGGGATGCCTGCGATGGTGACAGTGGGGGGCCCATGGTGGCCTCCTTCCAAGGCACCTGGTTCCTGGTGGGTCTGGTGAGCTGGGGTGAGGGCTGTGGGCTGCCTACCAACTATGGCGTCTACACCAAAGTCAGTCGCTACCTCGACTGGATCCACAGCCACATCAGGGACAAGGACAGCCCTGTGCCGTAGCTGCCCCGCTTGTCTCCGAATCCAGGGCTCCTGTGGCAGGGCTGCCGGGCAGCAGTGCATGGGCCGCTCAAGGGGCACACAAGAAGCAGGGCAGCCGGTGGACGCATCTGCACATCATCCTTTCTGGACCACTCTGTACAGAAATAAAATTTATTGAGCATCTGCTGTATGCCACACACTGTATGAACTGAATTTTATTTTTTATTTATTTATTTATTTTTTTTTTTGCGGAACCGGGGATTGAACTCAGGTCCTTGCGCTTGCCAGGGAAGCGCTTATTCCACTGAGCCATCTCCACAGCCCCCGAACTGAATTTTATTTAACTCTCAAAGCAACAATGCTGTGCAGGGAAGAGCCGCTCTAAGTTTTGTGGAGACGAAAGCTGATACAGTAGGAGGGTGTGCAGGCTTTCTTTTTTAAAAGAATAGAAAATGTAACTAAAGAGCTGGGAGAGCTGTTCCTAAGGCCTGGGCGAGCGGGTGAGAGTCCTGGAGCCTGAAGCTGAGCTTGACTTGCTTCACAGGAGACTCAGGAAGGCTGATGCCCAGGCCAGGGTTGGAATCAAGGGCTGGTTCCCAGGCCAGGCTTTTTCCCCTGTTCTCCATGGTTCCTGAAGGTGGCTATTGTGACACCTTTTCGGTGGGAAAGTGGCCAGAGACCCAGAAGGCATTGTTTAGGATTAATTCACAGTTGAGAAAACCAAGGAAGAGTGGTGCGAGGAGGCCTTGGGCTGGAGACTGAGGCAGGAGGACACAGCACGCCCTGGGGCAGCACAGAGAAACCCTGTCTTGGAGCCAGGAGAAGGAAGAATGTTCACTATTCATACAGAAGGCACCGTCTTGTCCTTACGTGTAACTGGGTGAGAGAAACAAGTCAGGATGTCCTGGTTTGAAATCACTGAGTGAGTAACACAAAGCTGAGAAAATCAGAACAAAGGTGAAAACTAGTCCAGCTGTTGGGCCTCTGCTGGTCATTTCTCTCTAGGTGTGATGGTTCTTTCAGAAAACTCAAAAGGCTGGTGTGTTCCCTCCTCTGGTTACAGGAAGCAGGCTGACTTTAAGAGGAGGGGCTTGCTTAGCTCAGGCCTGAAGGTGGAGCAGCTGAGACTTGGGGCAGCCCCTGGACTTGGCCTGGGTGAGGGCCTCCGGCTGGCCGGGCTGCACGTTTGACTTCCGCCAGAGCTCACTAACACCCATGCCAACCCCACCCTCACGCCCTCACAGACTTGGGAGTGGGGAAGACCCGGGCACCTTTCAATTCGTGTGTGTGTGTGTGTGTGTGTGTGTGCGCGCGCTTGCTAAAGATCACCTTGGGTTTCAGGTGGCCCAAGCTCCATCACTGGCTGCACCCCCAGCCCTACACATAGATTATTTTTACAACTCTCCATTTCATTGTTAGTTGAGGGTGGTTTTTTTTTTTTTTTTTTTTTTCCTGTTTTCAGTGCCAGGACTGATCTGGGGCTTCCAGCTTGCTTAGGTAAGTGTTCTACGCCTGACTAAATCCCCAGCCCCTCCATTTCATTGTTATATGTGGCTGGGATTAAAAGCTACCAGACCTGGGCTGGGGAGATAGTTCAATAGAATAAGCACTTGCCTAGCAAGTACAAGGGCCTGAGTTCAATCCCGGGTTCCGTTCTAGGACTCTGAGGGCCAAGAAGGACGATCCGCATCCTCGGGCAGCGCAGCACAGCCAATAGAAAAGGAAGATGTGGTGATGTTGCCCAGACTGTCAGCCCAAAGCTGTCACTTGCGGAACAGAAGGGACGCCAGGACACAAGCATCAGTAACCCACATACAGCCACAACATGCCAGCCTCGGGCTGCAGGGCCCAGCCCTGCAGTGATCCGGGGAAGGGCCAGGTGGGTCTGCTGGGAAAGGGGAGCAAGCCAGGCCAGAGCCACTGCAGGGTGTGTGTGTGTGTGTGTGTGTGTGCGCGCTTGTGCACAAGATTCTAACTTCTATCTTTTGCTTTCCATTGGACAGAACAAAGAAGTAATCATCATTAAATAAGGAGGTGGCAGTCCCTTCCCTCTTGGCACCATGGCGGCCCTCCGACCCCTTGTGAAGCCCAAGATTGTCAAAATGAGGACCACAAAATTCATCCGGCACCAGTCAGACTTATAGGCCAAAATTAAGCGCAAATGGTGGAAACCCAGAGGAATCAACAACAGGGTGCGGAGGAGGTTCAAGGGCCAGATCTTGATGCCCAACATAGGTTATGGGAGTAACAAAAAGACAAAGCACATGCGGCCCAGGGGCTTCCGGAAGTTCCTGGTGCACAGTGTTAAGGAGCTGGAGGTGCTGCTGAGGTGCAACAAGTCTTACTGTGCAGAGATTGCTCACATCTCCTCTAAGAACCGCAAGGCCATTGTGGAAAGAGCAGCCCAGCTAGCCAAGTCACCAATCCCAATGCCAGGCTGCACAGTGAAGAAAACGAATAGATGGCCTGTGTGCACGTTTATTTGTGCTTCAGTAAAATCACAAAAATGCAAAAAAATAAAAAATAAAAAACTTGGGCCAGGTGCTGGGGAGATAGTTCGGCTGTCTGAGTGCTTGCCTGGCAAGCATAAGGACCGAAGTTCGATCCCCCATACTGCATGCTATGGCAGCCCCAGAAAGTGGGTGTGGTGGCGCATGCCTGCGGTCCCTGCGCTGGGGAGGCCCGATGGGAGACTCTGTGCGAGTCCAAGCTTCATAGCAAGACTTTGTACTAAATAAATAAATATTAGGCCAGGAGTGGTGACAGAAATCTGTACACTGGGGAGGCTGAGGCAGGACCATTGTGACTTAGAGACTCACAATGTAGCCTGGGCTACAAAAAGAGTTCAAGGCCAGCCCAAACTGCATGAGACCCTGTCTCAAAAAGAAAAAAACGGGGGCTGGGAAATGGCTCAGTAGAGTAAGTGCTTCCCTGGCAAGCGCAAGGGTCTGAGTTCAAGCCCCAGTTCCTCCAAAAGAGAAAAGAAAAAAACGAGTATTTTTTGAAACCAAGAAACAGATTAAAAAATAAATGTACACACGCATAATCCCAGCACTCATGGAGGCTGATGCAGAGGATTGGAAGTCTGAGTTTTGCCTGGGCGATAATACAATTAATACACTTGAGTGATTCTTTTTTAAAACATTGGGAACATTTGTAAAAATATTCTCGATCCTGAGGGAAGCTACAAAGAACTCCAAGAGGTTAATATACAAAGTGTGTGCTCTGGCTAAAGTAAAAACGAATGGCAAAAACATACTTAAAATTCCCTGTTTGGCGAGGTGTGACGGAACAGGCCTGTACAACACTCGGGAGCCAACACAGCTCGATCGCCCTGAGCTGGAGGCCAGCCTGGGTAACACAGTGAGTTCCAGGGCAGTCTGGACTAGCGGAGACCCTGCATTAAAAAAA